GAGAGATGCTGGTGGCTTGGTGCTTGCTGGAAAGAGCTGGAGGTTTTCATTATTAAGTGATGAAAACGTTCTAAATTTGATTGTGGTAATTGTTGCACAATTCTGCAAATATATTAAAATAGAACTTGTACACTTTAAATGGGTGAGTTGTATGACACATGAATTATAGATTAGTAAAGCTGTTATATAACAAAAGTAGATAGCTGCTGCTTTTGTAGTTGTACCCCAGTTTTTAGGGCATTATTTTGTGGCTCTCTAAATGTAGGGGATTATATACCTAATTGAATTTGGGAGAGAAGAATATCACTGAGTAATTTAAAATATATTTTCTCCCTCACATTATAAAAATATTGAATGTTCGTTGTTGAAAATTTCAAAGCATAAAACTGAAGAAAATCTAAACCACCTGGAATAGTATTGAGAGGCATAGCATTGTTAAATTTTTGATGGTGTTAGATATTTGTGTATAGTTTTTACATATGTCATACTGCAAAGCCTTACAATTTTAAAGAATTAATGTTTTTGGTGTAGTTAGGTTTTTGTTGGGAAGAATTGGGTTTTTTGGGAGCAATTTAGAAAAGTGAATGACAGTTTGAGTTAAAAATTTTTTTTCAATTACAGTTTACATTTAATGTTAGTTTTAGGTGTAGAACCTAGTGGTTAGACATTTGAATAACTTAAAAAGTGATACCCCATAAGTCTAGTACCATCACTCTCCTGGCACCATATATAGTAATTACAATGCTGTTGACTATTTCCTTTGTTGCACTTTATATCCTGGTGACTATTTTGTAATTGGCAATTTTTACTTCTTAGTCCCTTCCCCCTTTTCACAGTCCCCAAACACCCTCCCATCTGGCAACCATCAGTTTCTCTGTATCTGTGAGTTTCACTTCTGAGGCATGTGTGATTTGTTAATTTTTGAGAATGAACTAGTATATAGAATTGAGGTTGAAATCATGCCCTTTTACTTTACTGCCCCTAAATTGTCTTCTTTTTTGTGACTAGGATTTTTTTAAATTATATGTTTTATTTTTACTTTATCTCACCCGAGGACGTTTTTTCATTGATTTTTAGAGAGAGAGAGAGAAACATTGATGTGAAAGAAAAGCATTGATTGGTTGCATCTAGGTTACAGGATGATGTTCCAACCAACTGAGCCATGCCAGCCAGGGGGGAAAAATTGGATGTTTTAAATGAATGCCTGCAGACTCTTACAAATTAATGGTCTCATTACCATACCCCCTAACCTTCAGAACAACATTTAAAAAAATTAGCTTTATTGAGCTATAATTTATATATGATAAAATATGCCACTTTAAAATATAAACATATAATTCAGTAAACTTTAATAAATGTATTTTTTTTAAGATTTTATTTCTTTTTAGAGGCAGGGGAAGGGAGGGAGAAAGAGAGGTAGCAAAATGTCAGTTTGTGATTGCCTCTTGTGCACCCCCAACTAGGTATTTGGCCCACAACTCAGGCATGTACTCTGACTGAGGATTGAACCAGTGACCCTTTGGTTGTCAGGCTGGCACTCATTCCACTGAGCCACACCAGCTGGGGCTAATAAATGTATTTATTAAGGGTGTAATCGCGACTTCCGCCAAGATGGAGGTTTAGGTGGATGTGCCGTGCCTCCTCATACAACCAAGTTTAGGGACAACTAAATATTAGCATCAGAAAACACAACCAGAACACGGAAAACTGAACTTTTCGGAAGTCCGCTAACAACAAATTCTTCAGCCCGACCGGTAAGGGGCGAAACCGGCGTCGGTAAGGGGCGAAACCGGCGTCGGGTGAGGAGTTACAAAGGAGGTCTCGGTCGGACCCGGGCGCGGAATCCAGACGTGCGAATCCAGTCGCACGGGTTCCAAACCCAGGATTGGACCTAGTGAGCGACCGAGCAACCCACCGGGTGAGCGACTGCTCAGGAGACGGTGGGGAGGCGGTGCTGCGTGTTGACTGTGGTTGCCTAATTGCGCACGAGTGAGGGAGTGAGCGGTTGGACCAGCGGCGGTGATAGCCGCGGCGACAATAGAGGGCGCCGCCATTTCCCCGCTCTGACCACGCCCCCACATACGGCGTCACAACCCAGCGACCTGGGAGTCCAAGGCGCCGCTTCTCCCACTTAAAGGGCCAGAACAGACCAAAAATGTCGCAGGGAGAACTCAAAGCCCCAGAGATAAATCTAAGTGACGAAGAAATAGCAAAACTCTCAGACGCACAGTTTAAAACACTGGTCATCAGCTTCCTCACAGATCTGGTTGATTATAGCCACAAATTAGAGAAACATATGAAGGCTAAATTAAGGGAAATGAATGGAATTCCACAGGAAACCCATAGAGTTGAAAAGGAAACTGGGACTCAAATCAATGGAGTGGACCAGAAGAAACCAAATAATGGCCAAACAGAAAAGAGTCAAGGAGCAAGAATTCAAAGAAATGAGGAGAGTCTTAGGAACCTCCAGGACATCTTTAAATGCTCCAATATCCGAATTATAGGGGTACCAGAAGGGGGAAAGACACAACCACCAGTGGAAAAACTATTTGAACAAATAATAAAAGAAAATTTCCCCAATCTGGCAAAGGAAATAGACTTCCAAGAAATCCAAGAAGCCCAGAGAGTACCAAAAAAGTTGGACTCAAGAAGAAACACACCAAGGCATATCATAATTACATTAGCCAAAATTAAAATGAAGGAGAGAATCCTGGAAGCAGCAAGAGCTAAGGGGACAATCACCTACAAAGGAGTCCCCATCAGGCTGTCAGCAGATTTCTCAAAAGAGACCTTACAGGCAAGAAGGGGCTGGAAAGAAATATTCCAAGTCATGAAATCTAAAGACCTACAACCAAGACCTACCCAGCAAAACTTTCATTTAGAATGGAAGGACAGATAAGGTGCTTCTCAGATAAGACCAAATTCAAGGAGTTCATCATCACCAAACCCTTATTATATGAAATGTTAAAGGGACTTATCGAAGAATAAGAAGTTAAAGAAACATGAACAGTGAAAGGACAACAAACTCACAGTTATTAACAACCACACCTAAAACGAAAGCAAACTAAAAGAACAGCTAGATCAGGAGTGGAAACATAGAAATGAAGATCTCAAGGAGGGTTAGCAACAGGGGAGTGGGAGGGAGGAGATGGGGGGAGAAGGTACAGAAAACAAGTAGCATAGACAGTAGATAGAAAATAGATGGGGGGGGCAAGAATAGTATGGGAAATATAGAACCTAAAGGACTTGAGACACATGGACATAAACTAAAGGGGGGTAATGGTGGGGTTGGGGGGGCAGGGTGGAGGGGAATGAAGGGGGGAATAGAACAACTGTAACAGCATAATCAATTCAAAAAAATAAATAAATTTATTAAAAAAAAAGGGTGTAATCGCCACAGTTGAACATTTAATTCTGTCCTCTCTCCCCAGATTTCTCTTGTACTCCTTTGCACATGAGCTCCTCACTTTACCCCCATACCCTACTAACCACTTAATTTGCTTTCTGTTTTTATAGGTGTGTATTTTCTATAATACCATTTAAGTGGAATCATAGTATGTATTTTGGTCTGGCTTTTTTTTCAGTTGGTATGCTGTTTTTGAAATTAATCCATGTTTTTACTTTTGAGTATCAGATTATTTTTTATTCTTGAGCAGTAGTGAACATTTGGGTTGTTTCTGCTTTTCGGCTATTATGAATAAAGTTACTGTGAACATATATGTAAGTGTCTTTGTGAAGATAAATTTTCTCTCGGGTAAAATGTAGGAGTGGGATTGCTGACTTCTTCCTGTGTTGAACTGTAGAAGAAAACTATCAAATTGTTTTTCCAAAGACCACCTGGTAATATGGCATTTCATTTTTTCTTAGAAGCATAGTTTTCTTTAATATGTTTATTCAGTTAGTGTTTATTGAGCTGTTTCTAGTTCTTTTGCATTCACCATGCGTTGTACTACCTATTTATTCCTATGCTTGGGATCTTGCAAGACTTATATGGGCCCCTTTCTTTGCTTGCCACCTAGTGGTAATAAGTAGGAACCATCAAAAGTTTTGCCCATGAATGAATTCATGAAGATGGACAGTGCCCTTAAAGGAGGAAAGAAGGGAACATTCAAAGCTGTTGCTATATGACTGCATTCCCCCTTCCTTCCATGACTGTTATTTGGGAAATACAATTTACTGCATTTAGAAATTTATTTGAAAGAAAATATACTTAGAGCCTGTAAATTTTTATTTTTTAAAGACTTTATTTATTTAATAATCTTTAGATAGAGGGGAGGAGAGGGAAAAAGAGGGAAACACCAATGTGTGGTTGCCTTGCACTCACTGCACACTGGGGACCTGACCTGCAACCCAGGTATGCGCCCTGACTGGGAACTGAACCCGTGACCCATTGGCTCACAGGCTGGCACTCAATCCACTGAGCCACACTAGCCAGGGCTAGAGCTTGTAAATTAAAAACAACAACAACAACAACAAAAAACCGAGCAGATGTTATTTATTTTTAGAGGGGGGGGGGAAGGGAAGGAGAAAGAGGGAGAAAAAAACACCAATGTGTGATTGCCTCTCTTGCGCCCCCGAATAGACCTGGCCTGGAACCCAGGCATGTGCCCTGACTGGGGATCAAACTGGCGAAGCTTTGGTTCATGGGCCTGCGCTCAGTCTACCGAGCTACATGAGCTAGGGCCTACATTGATGTTTCTTTCCCTCTCTCCCTCCCTTCCCCATCTTTAAGAAAAAATAAGAGATTCCTCCAAACCATACTATACTAGATACTGTATGAAGTTGTGGCACTGTCGAAGTTGTACAACAGTCTCTTGTTCTAGGCTCTTCTTTTCTTGTACATACTTTTAGTTTTCACTCACATTAGTTGTGATGACTGCAAAGGATTTTTTATGTTAAAATTTTAATATTTTGTTTTACATTAGCTTGACAGAAAAAAGACCCGTGGAGGGAATGTGTTAAAAAACCTTGTAAGGTCTCATTTTACTTTTCTGTTACAGAAATGGTGGAATCAATGAAGAAAGTAGCAGGTATGGATGTGGAGTTGACAGTTGAAGAAAGGAACCTTCTATCTGTTGCATATAAAAATGTGATTGGGGCTAGAAGAGCTTCCTGGAGAATAATCAGCAGCATTGAACAGAAAGAAGAAAACAAAGGAGGAGAAGACAAACTAAAAATGATTCGGGAATATCGGCAAATGGTGAGATTATTATATTCTAGACATCTTTCAAGAAAGGTGTCTTAGTTGTTAGATATTTTAGATCATAGCCCAGTTCAGCCATGTATTATAAACATGTAATATACATTTTACATTTTAATGGGCTGGATTACATTTTAATTTTGCTTACCTGGATTAGGAATACACACTACAGTATTTCTGGACAGAGGTGAACTTTTTTGGTAAACTGCAGAGGGTGGTGTTCAATTTTGAGCACCACAGAAGTAGGGAATTACGTTAATCTTTGTTTTTACTGTGATAACTTTATAGAGTTACTTAAAATTACCAGCCGGGGCAATTTAACAAATATTTGCGTGCCTCTCCTGCAACACGTAATGTACTAGGTGCTGTGTGTATAAAGATGAGAAAGATGGTTACTATCCTTATGGATCTCAGTGTAGTTATTTATTTTTTTAATAGAAGAATATCAGAGGGCACCGAACATTATTTCATGAAGGTATTGTTTCAGATATTATAAATGAGTGTATATACATTTATGTAGTACTATTTTTACTGTGAAATTTGGTCAAAAACGTTTGATAGCCATGGATGTAGTAGTTGTCTACCAGAGGGTGATTTCGTTCCTTGGAGGACATTTGGCAATGTCTAAAGACATTTTGGTGATCATAACATGGAGAGTACTATTGGCATATAGAAATAGGGATGCTGCTAAACATCTTGCTGTGCATAGGACCACCTCCTACAATGTGGGATTATGTAGCTCAGAATGGCAGTGTCGCTGTTAAGAAACTGAATGTGAAAATAAAAAATATTTCTAGCCCTGACGGGTGTGGCTCAGTGTGTTGATTGCCAGCCTGCAAACCAAAGGGTCACTAGTTTGATTCCCAGTTGGGACATGCTTGGGTTGTAGGACAGGTCCCACATTGGGGGCATACGAGAGGTAACCACACACTGGCATCCCCCCCCCCCCAATAAATTTTAAAAATCTTTTAAAAATTCTGACCAGTGTGGGTGTTGTCCTTCAAAGTGAAAGGTCTCTTGTTCAATTCCTGGTTAGGGCACATGCCTAGCTTGTGGGTTTGGTCCCAGGTCAGGGAGTATATGAGAGGCAACCAATTGATGTTTCTCTCTTTCTCCCTTCCTTCTCCTCTCTCTAAAAATAAATAAATAAAAATTAAAGTGATCTAGTGGAAGAGATAGGTATATATATAACACAAAGTACAGTGAGAGAAATTGCATAAACCGGCACAAATAGGATGGAGAGTGAATTTATTAAGGGTAGGGAAGGGGGAGCCACATTTATGGACTATTTCCAGTTCTATTGGGCACTGTTCTGAGTGGGGAGATATATAATGGTGTAAGATACTGTAATGTATTTGTGTATAATGCACACTTTTTTGCCCAAATTTTTGAGGGAAAAATAAGGATGTACATGATAACCCCATGTATAATGTGCACAAAAACGTGGGTGGGTGTTGTACATGGGAGCACATTATGTGCAGCAAAATATGTTATTTAACACATTTTTAAATGATCCCCTATAAAGGGTAGGTATTTCAATTTATAGATGGGAAAACTGAGGGTTCTGAGTGATTAAATGTATCTGGGGTCACATAGAAGAAGGTGAGTTGGTGTCATTGTGACTTAGACCTTCAAGTGTGTTGTAATAAAGAATATGTATGGGTTGTCAGTAGACAGGTTTGGTGCATCAGAGGGATGAGGAAATGAGAAAGTGGAAAGAAATGTCTTGTGTGGTAGAATGAGGATTTGGGCTAAGTAGGAAAGGAAGCAGAAAGGCTTGATAAATAGGGAGAAGATGAAAGATTCACGAGGCTGGATGTCATGATAACGTCTTTAGTATGAATAACAGGGAGTAAAGGAACTGAAAAAGAAGTTAGATAGAAGTCCAGTAGTGCAATACTAGAATTTAAGATGTCTGGGAGAGAGCAGCCACAGTGAGTGGTATTGACAAGTGAAGGTCATGGAGTTGAGATCAAGGAGTTATGTGCAAAGGAACATTGGTGATAATACTTTGGTGTGATAGTAGGAATTGGAGAGGTAGGTTACCAATCCTTAGTGAATGTGGATGAAAGCTACAGATTCTGTTGATTACAGCTGTTGATTACAGTAATTCAGAAATGAGAACTGAAAGTGTAAGCTTTCAAGGAGAAAGGGTTTGTAGTAATAGAGCAGTCACACCAAGTCAGTGAGGACCTATGATGATTTGGAAATTCCTTCTAGAGCAGTCACTACTTAAAAAGCTAGAAGGGGAGGTATTCAGGAAACAGCTAGTTTTACTTAGGATCAGGATGAGATTATAGAAAAGGAGAAAGCTGGAGAATTATTGACAATGGAAAGGTTACAGAGGGCATGAGAAGAATTTGGAAAGGTTAGCAATGTCACCATGAATTAATGGAAAATGGGATAGTAAGACATGTAGGTGTGTTTAGGATGGTGTACTTTCTTGGCATGGTAAACGAATTCAGAGGCAATAAAGGTTTTTGTTTGTTTGTTTGTTTTTGGTATACAGATTTTTGGTGCCATAACTGGCTATGGATATCTACTACTAAAGTGATTGGCTATTGAGCATAATAGTGGTTAGGAATGTGAGTACATTGCCTGTGTTTCAATTTTTATTTTGTTCCTTACAAATTGTGATGGTAGGCATGCAACCTGCTTTTGTTCAAATCTTAGCTCTGCCTCTTTAAGGGTTTTTTTTTTTTTTTTAAGATTTTATTTATTTATTTTCAGAGAGAGTGGAAGGGGAGGAGAAAGGGAAAGCAAAATCAGTGTGTGGTTGCCTCTTGTGTATCCCCTATAGGGGTCTGTCCTGTAACCCAGGCTTGTGCCCTGACTGGGAATCAAAACGGTGACCTTTGGTTTGCAGGCCTGTGCTTAGTCCAGTGAACTATACCAGCCAGGGCACTTTTAAGTTCTTTTGGTGAACTTCAGGCAAATATTATAATCTTTGTTTTTCCGTGTTAAATAAAGACAGTAGTTGCTACCTCATTGGAAAACTTAATTAAATTAATATAAATGCGCAGCACGTAGTAGTAATCAGTGTTACTCTTCTGTACCTGAACTAAGAGTTCATTTTTACCTCTCCCCCACATACCAAGCTAATGTTGTAAATCATTCATTTATTCATTCATTTATAGAGGGAGGGGGAGAGAGGGAGAGAAACATTGATTTTTTTAAAAGATTTTTATTTTTATTTAGAGAGGAAGGGAAGGAGAGAAACATCAATGTGTGGTTGCCTCTTGTGTGCCCCCAAGTGGGGACTTGGCCCACAACCCAGGCATGTGCCCTGACTGGGAATCGAACCAGCAACACTTTGGTTTGCAGCCCGTGCTCAATCCACTGAGCTACGCCAGCCAGGCCAAGTTAGTTTTTTAAAAGCACTTAATAGTACATGGAAATAATTTCTGTAACCTGGGGAGAGCTGTTCTCTGCTTTTTGTATCAAGAAGGAAAAGGGGCTTTGAAGAGGCATGTATGTTCTGTTTAATATAGCTCTCTCCTTCAAAACCAGAGGTAGAATGTGTTATAATTTATAATTTCTTGGACTTAAACAAGTTTTGACCTTTTTTTCAGGTTGAGACTGAACTAAAGTTAATCTGTTGTGACATTCTGGATGTACTGGACAAACACCTCATTCCAGCAGCTAACACTGGCGAGTCCAAGGTTTTCTATTATAAAATGTAGGTTCTATACTGGAAGGGAAAATGTCAGATTAAATGTTGGCCCTCTTAGAATCATCACTTTTTCTGTGTAGGTTTTCAATTTTTACTGAAAAAGAATTGTTTAATGTTGGAAGGATAGTTTACATGGGAGGAGTGATTCTCAAAAGTTAATTTTTGAATTCTTATTTGCAAATTCACTGCTAATGAAATACTAATATTACTGCATTTAAGATGGTCAGATTATTACTGTAAAAATGTACTAGGTTTTGTTTTACCTATTTACATTTATTTGCCTTTGTGGGATTGTGGGGTTTTCCCCCTAGCTACAGCAAAGCATTATGTAGTTCAATCTAAACATTTTTATATAGAAGTTTTAGTTCATGATTAACAAACTATTGTGCTATTCTTTGGAATTACTTGATATTTAATTCTAGTCTCTCGAGTGATAGATTTATTTATGGGTTTTGTTTTTTTTTTTTTTTTGAGGTTTCCAGTTAAAATCTCTAGGATTTTGCTTATATTTGGTAATGTGAAATCTTTAAGGAAGAAAACTAAATTGATGAGTTAGTCATTCCTGAAAGAGACTTCTAAAAATGATTGAAGTGTACCAGTTAATTGTTAATTTTCACATAGAAAAATTTTAAGTTATTTTTGTTTAAAAAGCATTTCTAACTCTGTCGTTTTGTTTTGTTTTGTTTTAGGAAAGGGGACTACCACAGGTATCTGGCTGAATTTGCCACAGGAAATGACAGGAAGGAGGCTGCAGAGAACAGTCTAGTGGCTTATAAAGCTGCTAGTGATATTGCAATGACAGAACTTCCACCAACGCATCCCATCCGCTTAGGTCTTGCTCTCAACTTTTCTGTATTCTACTATGAAATTCTTAATTCCCCTGACCGTGCCTGCAGGTAAGTTATGGAGGGGAACAGAAGCTTTCATTATGAAATTAAAAAGGGTTACTAAGGAGAATAACTACTTGCTTTTTTTTGTTTTGTTCTCTGGGACAGCCTTTGTAGGCTTGGGAATATAATAAAGCATCCTTTTGGCTCTCAATGAAAATGCTTTGTAATCTAAAGCCACATGTATCTCAATTCAAGACAAACCTTCATTTCACTAGGATAATTATGTTGATGGGGAAAATTTTTGTTGGTACTTTAAAAAGAATCTCGAACTTGTTAGAACGTGGGGAAAAGGAATGAGAATTATTTTTAAAATTACCTTTGTTTTTATACATTAGTTTCGGTCTTTGTAGGTATATTTTCAGTATGGTTGTGCTTATGCTCTATATGTACCACTTTTAAAAAGATTTTATTTTAAAAAAGATTTTACTTATTTTTTAGAGGGGAAGGGAAGAAGAAAGAGACATCAGTAGTGTGGTTGTCTCTCATGTGCCCTCAACTGGGGACCTGGCCCACAACCCAGGCATGTGCCCTGACTGGGAATTGAGCCATTGAACCTTTGGTTCTCAGACCCACTTTCAATCCACTGAGCTACACCAGCCGGGGCTATATATACCACTTTGTATTTTTTTTTAATTGATTTATTCTTAGAGGGGAAGGGAAGGAAAGGAGAAAAACAACATTGATCCAGAGATACATGGATGGATCAGTTGCCTCTCTCACACCCCCAACTGGGGACCCAGTCTGCAACCCAGGCATGTGCCCTGACTGGGAATTAAACCCGTGACCTTTTGGTTTGTAGGCTGGCACTCAATTCACTGAGCCACACCAGCCAGGGCTGTATTTTCTGTTTTAATATAAAGTTTTTCATCTCACTGATGGATGTTAAACTATCTCCAATTTTGGTATAGATTTAAGTGATATAAGGAATATATGTATGTAGCTTTTTACTTTTAAAAGTTACGGTGAAATAAATATAACATGAAATGTATCGTTCTAATCATTGTTAGGTATACAATTTAGTTGGCACCAGTATCTATTCCCAAAACTTTTTCATCACCTGAAACAGACTACAACCTCAATGTGATAATTCCATATCCCCCTTGTAATCTTTAATTTCTGTCTTTATGAAATTGTCTATTTTGGCTAGATTCCTTACCAATGACATAAACTTTATTAACACATTTTATATGTGATATGTATTATATACTGTATTACAATAAAGCAAGCTAGAAAAAATCTTATTAAAATCATAAGTGAAAATACATTTTACTCATTCACAGTATACCTAACCTGATATTTCTGGATTATGAAATTTGCAAAATTTTTCAAATTGTCACAAATACCAAATTTTCCAATATATTTTTGAAAAAAGTGTGTTAGCGGACCTACACAAATCAAACCTATGTTGTTCAAGGGTCATCTGTATTTGCCCTTTGTAACTTCAGTAGTCTTAAATACGTAGCAACCAAATGTTCCATGAAAGGGGAGATTTTCCTGGTATAAGGGTGGATTCATTTGAATGCAAAGTAATACTCATCTTAAAATATTCTAAGTGGCTACTTGAGTTCATTAAAACAGATATGTCTTCACTGAAGAAGTTACACCTATCTGTTCAGCTGATAGTATTGGTCAAATCTTTTATTGTTAGTCTCCAGTCTAGCTGTCCCATATACATGGTTTCAGATTAATTTACCTCTATGCCATTTCTCCTGTTTTGGCCTTAGTCTGAAGTTTGCCACTTGCTCTATCCCTACCCATTAAAATTAGTTGAAACTTGACTTCTCTCACTTGCTCCTCCTCCTGGGTTCCTGCGGCGCTTGCTGTAGAGTAGTACATAATTTTTAAAAATAATCTTAATTATGTGTCCTATTCCTAAATGTTTCTGAGTTAATTGCACACACAGGTTAATTATGTCTTTTCTGTTTCTAGATTATATTTCCATATAATCTTCATTATATTTCTTCTTTATATTTTCATGGGTTCTATATTACCCTCTTTTTAGTGAGATGCTGTCCAAAAAGTTGGGTTTTTTTTAATTTTAAGATTTTATTTACTTTTTTAGATAGAAAGGGAGGGAGAGAGGGAAAGAAACATCAATGTGTGGTTGCCTCTCACATAGCCCCAACTGGGGACCTGGTTCACAGCCTGTGCTCAATCCACTGAACTACACCAGCCAGGGCAAAATGTTACTAAACAAGTGAGCTATTGACTGGAACTTGGAAATACCTTTATTATACATATATTTTGGTGGTGCTTTAGTTTGGAACTACTTCGTCTATATAGTCTCCTTACTGATAGAGGCTTGTTGAAAGCATAGTAAGAAGTGATGTTCCAAAAATTCTGTTAGCTCACAAGCTGCTAGATTACAAAATTAAGTAGGGAGTTAATTTTCATCAATTACATGAGCTTTTCCTTTATTTCAATGCCTAAACCCAAGTATTCAGTGTCACTTTACATATTGGGATAGTCGAAAAGAGTGATGCCTTAACATCTTTTCTAATTCTGTTTTTGGACTTCAGTTTATTTTTATAATACACTTACGTAAATATTTGTAGGTTGGCAAAAGCAGCTTTTGATGATGCAATTGCAGAACTGGATACGCTGAGTGAAGAAAGCTATAAGGACTCTACACTTATCATGCAGTTGTTACGTGATAATCTGACACTATGGACTTCAGACATGCAGGGTGATGGTAAGGAAACTCAAGTTAAATGTGTCTTTTTCCTTTGTTGGATCTTTTACTCTTAGAAATTCTTGGTATTTCTTTACATCAAGTTACAGTTTCCTCGATCCTCCAAACTATCAAAGTTTAATTACTACCTTTCATGAAAAGATATCGAAGTGTGGTCTTCCATTCTGGGTTATAAGATGATAAACTAAAAGACCTGTTTAGAAAAGGGGATCTTCTATTAATATTTAAAGGTTTAAAAGTTTTACTTCTAGTTAATGTTCACTAAACTTAGTTTACTTCTCTCACACTGTTTTGAAAGATGAAGGGAGAGAAGTGGTTTATTTTATTTCACTCAGATTTAATTTTAGGGGTCTAAGGTTAATTGTATTGGAATGCCATGATCACTGCCTTTGGTTGAGTAGTGTTCTCAGGTTTAAACTAGATGGTATCTAGATATTTATGAAACATGTTCTCTGGAATCTTTTATCTAAAAAAAAAAAAGGAATGTTCCCTGTGGATTCTGTACAGTAAATGGGATGCCCGTCCCTTGGGTTCTGTTTAAGAGGTCTAGTGTAATCTGTTTGGGGTGTTTTTTTTTTTAAGATTTTATTTATTTTTAGATAGGTGGGAAGGGAGGGAGAAAGGGAGAGAAACATCAGTTTGTGGTTGCCTCTCACATGCCTGCCAACCCTTCCCCCCACACATGCACACACCCTGCGGGGACCTGGCCTGCAACCTTGGCCCGCATTTGCAGCAACTGGAAATCAATTGGCCACCCCTTGGTTCACAGATTGGCATTCAATCTACTGAGTCACACCAGCCCTGTTTTTATGTTTTAGCATTTTCAGTAGTAACAGTCACTAAGAGTACCTTATAGAACTTAATATTATGATGAGGTGAAGGGTTTACTTACAGTTTGTTCTAAATGTAGTAAAAGCTCAAATTTGTCACTTTTTTGTTTTAAAGGAGATATTATTGTTCATATTTCCAAAGAATCATTTTCATACACAATATGTCATTGAACAAGGGAGGACAAATGAGTGTGATGTAGCCATAGGTAGTTTTATAGTGAGTGATGATTTAGGGAGCAGAAACGAAACATTTGTCAGTTTTAGCTGTAGAGCCTTCAGTGTCATGTTCCCCAGATTGAAGCATAGGTTGGATTGCTTGAAGCTGGCTCTAGTCTTGGTCAACCCAACCAAGAAGCATTATACTTTTTAAAGGTGCCTCTGAAAATCAGTGTAAAGGAATGTAAATTGTCTTTTTTTCTTACTCCTGACCCTCAGTAGGATAGAGTCGGGTTTTTTAGGCTTATGTTGGGTTATGGTGCTAAAGTAAGAATTGGGTGATGGCAGCTTCTAGAGCTCACTAGCTCTGTAAAGTTTTAACATATTTGATAAGGGTTGGCTTGACATATGTAGCACGTGACCTACTTGTACATTTCTCCAACAAATTCAGATTGAGCCACTGATTACTTTTCAACGTAGCTCTTCAGGCAGCCACTACCACCAATCAGTGGGACTCAACAATTTATCACCTTTGAACTAATGACCTAAGGTTCCTTCCAGCTGTAAAATTCTGTTGTTATTCTAACAATAACTACTAAGAATTGGCCAAATAGCTGTGGACTCTTCATAGTCACCCTCAGCTCTGAGAAGACTAATAAGCCTGCCTGTTTGAGGGGATAAAAGGAAAGCATGTGGAGAGCTCGGGTAAGCGGTATTGACCTAATAAGTAAACTGTATCCCTCTGACCTGGGGACATTTTTTTTGAGGGTAAAAATAAAAAGAAGGTGACCTGAGTAGAAAACACTTTTTTTTTTTAGCCATTTGATGCCAGCTTCCATAACTGAGGTGTTAAGCTAGCTTATACTTTCTGGTGCTACTGTTGTTCATTATCATTGATAACCAAGAGTATACAGAACAAAAGATACTCTTTTTCTTGGTTATCAGGTGTCATTTTATAAAATGGATCATTTAAAAACAAGACATTTCTTTAAACTGCTTTTGTTTTCATAGTTGAGAAGGTTCTTTATCCCAAGATGTTTTAACATTAGCATAGATTAATTCTAAATATTAAAAAATGTTTGCTTGTTTGCTTGTTTGTTTTAGAGGGGGGAGGGAGAAAAGGAGAGAAACATTGATGTGAGAGGGAAACATTGATGGATTGCCTCTTGCAAATGCCCCAACCAAGATCTGAGCCCGCAACTGAGGCATGTGCCCTGCTGGGAATCAAACCAGCGACCTTTCTTTTAGCTTTTAGGATGATGCCCAACACTGAGCCACACTGGTTTGGGCCTAAAAGTTTTCTTAATTTAATGAAATCTAACTGCTTCAATTACTTTTTTACTTTTTAAGTTAAACCGTTAACTTCAGTGGAAAAAAACCTAATTTTCATTTAAGAGCTTTGTTATAAAATATTTGGAATTAGGAGGTATGATAATTTAACACTGAAAAACCCAAGTAGTATCTTGACCTTTTAGTAAAATTAACAACTATCTGATTTTATAAATTGTTGTGGGTACTCTAGGACTTTATTTCCCAGTTATGCCAAAAGGTATAGGATTACATAATGTTTTATTAAAATTGATTTTGTGACTTAGAATCAATGCTGAATATAGAAGAATTATGATCATGAAATTGGCAGTTTTCCAGGTTACTTAAATTTAGTTTAAAAATGGGTTGGGCAGTAAGTTTGTTTTGCTTTTCCTGTACAGTGGCTCTCTAGTAGTGCTTAGTTGTCTTTAAATTCATTTGAAACTCTTTTGTTAGTAGATTGTATTGTGACAGCCATCATCAGCATCCATTTAAAACATCAAAATTGGTGAATTCTTATGTAGCCATTTGAATATTGAAAGTGGAAGAAAATACACGTTTTTGACATAATGTTTTATTATTTTAAGAAAGGTAAAAAACACAACTGAAACACAAAAAGATTTGTGCAGTGCGTGGAGGAGGTCCTGTAACTGATGGAACATGTCAAAGTAGCTCGTGAAATTTCTTGCTACTCTTGACATTTTGGCCAAATAATCCTTTGCTGTGGGGCTGTCTTATATGTTGGAAGATGTTTAGTAGTATCCCTGGTTTCTACCCACTAGAAGCCAATGGGAGGGAGGTAGCTGACATACTCAAAATAGCCAAATCAAAGTTGCTGGTGAAAGTGAAAAATGTATCTCTTATTTTACAGGGGAAAAAAACACTTGGACTTTTTGTTCAACCCAATATTTACTTGATTTCTCATTTTTTTACTTTACTATCTAGGGAAAATGGTATCACAAAACATTTGAATTGAAATTTATCTTTAGAGGGGAAGGGAAGGAGAGAGGGAGAGAAACATCAATGTATGGTGGCCTCTTGTGCATCCCCCACTGGGAACTGGCCTGCAACCCAGGCATGTGCCCTGACTGGGAATCAAACCACGATCTCCTGGTTCACAGGCCCAAGCTCAATCCACTGAGCCACACCAGCCAGGGTTGTATGTGGTTTTTACTTACATACACACTTTTATGTTTTTGACTGCAGAATATGTTAATGTCTGTGTTGGAACATAATTCTTTAAAGGGATCACAACTTTTTATCATGATTTCCAGTCCTTTCTCTTAACCTGTGGTTAGAGGACTGTTTCATACACAAATCCACAGAGAGGAAATGTGGTTTCTCTACCTCCCATTTCTCTTCCCCCCAAATTTGTGAACAGTGAGCAAAGAAATAACATATCCAAGGAAAACTTTTGTTCTGTATAGCTTTTAAAAGGATATTATTTCATCCTCTTAAAGGTAAAAGGAACAAAGTATTTCTTAGAGTGAAGTTTATACAAAACAAAAAGACCAGAATCTGACTTTTCTAGTCATTGATGTTTTCCTTTGTCCTGCTCTCTTGGTTTATTTTTCTTGTAATGTTGCTTTCATGTGATTGTTCTCCCTCCCTTTCTCCTTGCAATATAGATTCCTAAAGGAAAACCCAACTCTTCTTTCCTAAAAACTACTTTGTAAGTCATTACCATGGCACAGTGAATTCTGCTTTTAGTTTTGGTTCTTCACTAATCATGCTTGCATATATCATCATCATCCTGTTGCTTACAAAACTGCCTGTTCCACATTCCAGGATGCGAAACCTTCTAAGACATTTATGATTTGCTACCTTCTGTCACCTTTGGTTGGGTGTGATTGATCTGACAGTATTTTTTATGCCAAAGTTACTTGGAACTTTTGGCAAATTTAATGTTTGCTTATGAGTGAATCAGAGTGTTCTACTGTTTATGTTAACTATATTTTGGAACAGTATATTTCTGTTAAAAATGAGAGTGAAATGTTCCTGTTTGAATATATCATTGTTCTTTGGGGAAGAATAGTTGTGTGGTCCATCATTTCTTTCCTTAATAAATGGGCATTTTTTTATTTCTTTGCATGTGTTTTTCTAGTTTTGAGTAAAAAATCTTTATGTACCTCAAGTACTTTTAGAGTCACATACAAATGCTAAACATTGTTATCACAAAGGAAATTTTAAAATGACTACTCAACCCTGGTTGCTGTGACAGCATCTACTGTTTATGATATCAGGGTCTTTAAGACTGTTTATTATTATTTTTTAATCCTCACCCGAGGACATGCTTATTGATTTGAGGGAGACAGAAACATTGATGTGAGAGAAAAATATTGATGGGTTGCCTCTTGTGTGCACCCCCAACCAGGGACCAAACTTTTGCAACCTAGGCATGTACTCTGACTGGGAATCGTATCCATGACCTTTTGGGTGCTTGAATTAATTGAGCTACACTGGCCAGGGCAAGACTGTTAAAAGCATTTCTCAGGGTAACTGCTTTATGTCTGTAGATAATCAGTCTCAGTGTCATTTGTCCATCCTAATTAAGTAATTTAATAAGCAATATGAATGGGTGGATGGTCTGAACATATTATGATTGTTGGATTAATTCACTGATTTTTAAATTATTTTGAATCAAACTAGTAATATGCAGGAATTATAAGTGGTTTGTTACGGCACAAAAGAATGTAACTTGTTTTAATTTTTAGTGAAAGCCTGCATGCTTTATTGTGGCTGACATATTTAATGCTTATGAATAGGTAGATATTTAGGCTGGCTTTCTATTGCATGTCATAGTGCAGTTGAAACTTCAGGCTAATCGTCATGTTCAAAGGGAAAAGAAAAATGGCATGAGAAAAGTAGTCTAAATGCCCTTCTTTAATAACCTCAGTGGCCTGGTTTACTTTGAGCATGCTGTTTCACTCTGGAGTGAAAAATCTGGTTATGGTTTGGTGTGACTGGCCAATATACAAAACATGAAATTTTTACAAAAGCAGAACCCTCTCTCCAAAACTGTTGAAGTTCTTTGGAGCATTTTACTGCTCAGTTCTCTTTATTGAAGTATTTTGATATGAGGCATGTAGGTAAAGTAGGTTTTGCAAAAAACTATAAAGTATTCCTGATTCTTGATGAGGTGAGGTTATTGAGAAAGAGTATTTTGACACAATATACATGAAAGCTTGAAAATCATTTTAATAATATGGTTACTAAAAACATTGACTTTTACTATGTGTCTGTTTTTTTTGTTTTTGTTTTCATCCTATTGACCATTTAGGACCTTGATCCAGCCGCACCTATACCTTTTGGCTCAGGCATCTCAGATGTCAAGGATGATAGAAGTTCTTTGCTTGTCTTTGTTTAATACAAACTATAGCAAACATAAGGAGTTTTTTTATGCTTGGAATGATACCTTTGTTTGTGACCATGACAGTCTGATGTAGTCAGTATGAAATAATTAACTGTCATTCTCCTTTGCAGGTGAAGAGCAGAATAAAGAAGCGCTGCAGGATGTGGAAGATGAAAATCAGTGAGACATAAAAGCCAACGAGAGAAACCATCTCTGACCACCCAACTCCTTCCCATCCCACCCCCACCCCCCTTGGAAATTTCCCCATTGTCACTGAGAACCACCAAATCTGACTTTTACATTTGGTCTCAGAATTTAGGTTCCTGCCCTGTTGGTTTTTTTAAAAACAGTTTTCAAAAGTTCTTAAAGGCAAGAGTGAATTTCTGTGGATTTTACTGGTCCAGCTTTTAGGTTCTTTAAGACACTAACAGGACTGTATAGAGGCTTTTTCGGCATTACTGTGTTGTCTCCTGCCAGATGTGGCAAGGTAACCATTAGCAGTGGAAGTTACATTGGAAGCCAGTAGACTTTTAGGTGAAGTAAGCATCTAAGAGAGAGGTTAATCACATATAGAGGCATATGTGGTATGGTATCTTTTTTTTCTTTTTTCTAATTGTTCAAATTGGATTTTATACCAATGTTTAAAATTAATTGGGTGTTAGCTTGAGGTGGTTAAAGGTTCTTTGGGGAGTTTGTTGTAATGGTTTTGCTGTAAAAAGTGTTTAAAATTCTGCTGAAATGTTGCGGAAAAGCGTGGTGCTGGTAACAGTTCAACAATCCGTGGCTGCTCATTCTTGCCTACTTTTACTCTCCTCTGAAGCAGGTTAGCATTGAAGGTGGTATGGAAAAGCCTGCATGCGAGTTCAGTTCTTTGTTTCTTCTCCTCCCTTCTCCTGGCCCCCCTCCTTCGCTCGCTCAACCTCTTTTGTTCAGTATGTGTAACTTGAAGCTAATTTGTACTACTGGATATCTGACTGGAGCCACAGATACAGAATCTGTATTGTTCTTACTGAAACACAGCATGGAATTAACATTAAACTTAAATAAAACAAACCTAAATTAAAAATGCCAAATATTATTGCGCCTCCATCTTTTATCTTTCTAAAATAAAATCTCTAAACACACTGATGGTATTATTGCCTGAATGTGAAAAGGTGTCTTTTTTCCCCCTCCCCCATAAATTGCTTGTCTGTTTCCCAATGACGATGTATTATTTTTTTGGGGAAAAAAAGGACCTGTAACCTGGCTGTGAAGAACACTTAAGTACTCCACGTCAACTCATTACCCATCCTGCCTAATCAACCAGGTAGCAATACAGAATTTTAATCATTAAAGTACAAATGTGTATTTAATACACGTGTAATTATGGATCGTTTCCTAGCATGGATTTGTGAGTTGTATAACCAAATATGGCTGAATATTTTAGAATTGTTCTCAGGCTGAGGTAAAATTTCCACCCCCCATCCTCACTTCCACCACTGAGGTCAGTGGCAGGAGCAGAGAAGGATACAATTAAATTCTTGGTTGTACACATGGTCAAGCGGTGGTATAGCTATGGTACCCCATTCTAGGAACACTGTAAGTAAGTAGTTTTCTTCCAGAGATTGTATATTGGTTTGTATAGATATTTTAGTTAATATACATCATTCTGTATCAGGAGTTTGGTGAAAGGGTCCTTAGTTAGCTGTGTAGACTTCATTAAGCAAATAGGATGTTGTGAACATTTTAAAATTTGTGGCAGTCTTGGTATTGAGAGAAAACCTGCCACCCAAAGAAACCAGTGAGGCACTTGAGAAGATTGATATAGGTAAGAAGAGAAGATTGGGGTAGGTCTTCAGAAAGGTCTCTGTCAAAGATCAGAAGGTTGCAGAAAGGCAGTAACTCTGTAGGGACAGTGTCACTCCCACTTCCTAGAACTGGTCAGGTGATGTGTTTTTCAGCTTTTGGTTTAGTCATCTTCACGGATCAATTGATTTACATAGAAATTTGAGTTACCATTATAACTAGGATGCAATTTGTGTTTTAAATATTCTTTGTGTTTGATTTGTAGAAAGTTTTAAATCTAGGTGTATTCTAAAGGGTTGGAACCAATAATTGAGTATTGATACCTGTGCTTGGGTTCTGGGATGGGTGGCCAGGAAAGAAAATCTAATGTATTTTGCTTCTGGGAAGAGAATAGATCATTCTAAGGGGAATTAATGCAATATAACTTCTAACTTGGCTCCGGCCCCAGACAAATGCCACTTAGAAATAAGTTAGCTGTTACTGATCCTAGGCTAGTAGAAAGGAGTGCTGAAAAATTGTCAAAGATTTTGTTGTGAAAATGGTTACAAGTAATAACAGTTCACAGGGATTCCTGGTAGGTGTGTAAGATGGGTGATTAAAAGAATTGGGGCATTTCAGAGGAAGTGGTGGTGCTGGATCCAACTCCTGGGTAAAACCCAGCCATATCTTGTTTCATATCTTAGGAGTTACTAGGCTTGTAGTCGATACTGATAATGAGCCGACATTGTTAGCTATGGACCAGGCACTGAGTCATTTTTAAAATGTATCTAGCACACAGGTGATTAGGGGAGCTGTCACTTGCATTTTGCAAATAGGGGAACAATAGGAGAAGGTGAACTTGCCCAAAGCCACAGGACTGGTGGTATTCAAGCAGATTTCAGAGTTTGGTTACCTTTCTGTTCTTAATCAGAACTTGGTGTTTATTGAAACTCTCTATCCTAAGGTGATCGTTTAAGATCCGTATATTTTAACATTACTGAGGTAAGTATGTTTTACAATTGATACATACCCCTTCAAAAGTTGTGATATGTATTATGAGAACTGAGAATATAAACAATAAGTACATTTAAGGCTCTGAGGTAGTTGTTTAAAACGGAAGGGTCATAAATGTAAAGGCTTGTTACCTAGATAAGTTTTTTGGCAGTTTTTATTTTGTAGCTTAATTTGTAAGTTCAAGAATTGGTCATTTTTATAGTTAGAGCTTGGACAAATAGGTAATTGGTGATTGTGGATTGTTAAGTTGCTGCAGTGCTGTGACAGTTTATTCTACAGAACCAAAGGCTTAATACCTTAAAGGCAAACCCATTTTTTAGCTGCTTTAGGTGAAAATATTTCTGAAATACATCACTTACTAGCTTTTAAAGAAACACGCCCTGTACCAGTACTGTTCTGAGGAAGGGTCCTGGGTTGGTGCTCTTGCACCATCACCATAGGGTTGTAGGAACGGGACTGCAAATTGTTCTTAAAAAAATTTCTTGCTCTATAGACATTTGTATGTCAAGTAATTATAAGGTTTAAAATTTGTAAAGATAAATTATACAATTTATTAATGTATTTTAACAGAAAGAACACCCCATTTAGCACCACTACATCAAGAAATAAAATAGGACCAGAATCTAGAATACTCCCTTATGTTCTCTTAGTGATTACTCCTGCAACTAAATCAGTATTTTGATCACCATCAGTAAGTTTTGCCTGTTTTTGAACTTGATAGTAATGGAGTAGTCATACACTTTTTTTTATCTGAACATTGTGGCGTAGTCCATGTGATTAGCTCAGTAGTAGTGTGTTTTCATGGCTCTGTATGTAGTATTGTGTGAGTATACCACTGCATTCTATGGATGGAAACTGGGTTATTTTCAGTTTCTTAATGTTACAAATGTTCTGGACATTTCTGGACTTCTGGTATTTACATGTATACATTAATGTGGCATGTATACCTAAGGATGGACTTAACTCTAGGTCGTAGGGAACACAGTCGTTCAACTCTAGTAGGTACTGCAGAACAGCATTTCAAAGTGGTGCTGTTTCCCAGCCCTGCTCGTGGGAATCCCATTTGCACCGCATCCTTGGGCATTTCATCTGGTCACTGTTTTTAGTTGTAGCATTCAGGTGAGTTCGTATAGTAGTAGTATGAATTTAACTTGCATTTTCTTTATGATTAATGAGGCAGAACTTTTTAATAGCTTTATTGGACGTTGGGATATTTTTTAAAATACCCCCTTTTGTCTGTTTTTCTGTTGGGTTGTCATTTTCTTACTGGTTTTTAGGAAGAGTATGTCTTTGGAGTTGTTAATTGTAATTATTTTCTTTGCCCTGCTTTTTTCATTTTCTTGAGGTCTTTTGATGAATAGTTCTTAATTTTGATACAGTCCAGTTTATCCATATTTTCCTTTAAGGTAAGTGCTTTATATGTCCTATTTAAGAAATACTTGCCTACCCCAAGATCTTTTATGTTATTTTTCTAAGATCATTGTTTAACCCCTCATATCTAGATCTAGAATCCTGTGGAGCTCTTGTCTATAATAGGGAGATACTAAAAATAATATTTTTCTGCCCTGGCTGGTGTGGCTCAGAGGATTGAGAGCCAGCATGCAGACCAAAGGGTTACTGGTTTGATTCCTGGTCAGGGCACGTGCCTGGGTTGCAGACCAGGTCCCTGGCAACCAATCAATATTCCTTTCCCTCTCCTCTTGAAACAGAATTTTAAAACAGTATTTTCAGTATAGATACTCAGTTGATCCAGCGCCATTTATTGTTTCATTGGTGTATTTGTCCTAGTGCCAGTGGAACACTGTGGGTTTGAAATAATTCAGTATCTGGTGGTTTGAGTTCTCTTTTTTTTTTCCTTTTCTTTAGGATTCTATTGGTTATTCTTGGCATTTTCCACTTTTATACACATTGTAGAATAAACCTTTCAATTTCAATAATTGAACAGCAGCAATAAAACCTAGGATTTTGATGAGGATTTTATTGAATGTATGATAAAATTGGGAAGAAATGACATTTTTATATAATCGTCCTCAAATTCATCAACACTATATATTATACTCCTCCACTCATTTAGGTCTTTAGTTTATTTCAATGTGTGGTTTTCTCTGGAGAGGTCTGATACCTTTTGTTGGGCTTATTTGAAGGTATTTGACGTTTTGGTGTTACTTAAAATAGTATTTTTAAGTTTTATTTTCAAATTATTAGAGTGATAATACTATGCATTGATTTTGTATTACATGACCTTGCTAAATTCTAAGTATGGGTGTCCTGAGATACGTCTTTCAAGAGGACTGACTACTTGATAACATAAATGAAAGTGTTAAGTGCATGCATCCCTTGCTTGTGTGAGTGTGCCCACAACCTGCAAAATATTTGCATTTCAGCATTAGAATGGCAAATTAGAAACAACCTAAATGCCCATCAATCATGGTACACCCTAACTATGTATACTATGTTATAAAAAATGATGAGGCAAACCATTTCAGATACCTATATCTGCATAGAATGTTAAATGAGAAAAGTAAGATACTAATATATGTAACAGGAAAAATACACTTGTTTATCTTTAGGAAATTTCTGAAAGATAACGTTTTCATTTAAAGAACAGCTTTATTGAGGTACGATTGACATATAAAGTGTGTATATAAACTATGTGGTTTGTTTTGGAATGTGTATATGCCCATTAAACTATCATAATCAAGATAGCGTTCACTCTCAGAAATTTCTTTGTACTTTGTAAATTCTTCCCTTGACCCTCAAGCAACCACTCACCAGCTTTTTGTTATTTTACCTTAGTTTGCGGGGTTTTTTTTTTGAGTTTTATATAAATTGAATCACACAGTATTTCTTTTTAGGAGTGGTGTCTGGCTCCTTTCACTCATCATAATTGTTTTGAGAGTCATCTTGTGTGTATCAATAGTTCATTCTCTTTATTGTTGAGAAGTATTTCATTGTTTGATATACCACAGTTTATTCACCTGCTGATGGACATTTGGGCTTTAAGTTTTTGTCACAAATAAAGCTGCTATGAATGTTTACAAGTGTTTATGTGGGCATATACTTTTTAATTTAATGGGAGTGGAGTGCTTCAATAGTGTGGTAGGTATATGTCTTTCTGAGAAACTGGCAAATTGCTTGACAAGGTGATTGTACCATTTCACATTTCCACCAGCAGTACCTGAAAGCTCTCCTGTTCTCTCCATCCTCTCCAGCACTTGGTATGGTCAGTCCTTTAAAATTTTCCATTCTAATAGGCGTAAAGTGGCATCTCATTATGATTTTAATTTGTATTTTTTAATGACTAATGATCATCTTCTTATGTGTTGATTTGCCATCTGTATTTTGTG